CTAACGCAATACATAAAGAGAGAGAGAGAGAGAGACAAACAGACATAGACAGAGAGACACGCACACAACAACATCAACAACAAAACAAGTCGAATGGCGCAGCGTTGACGAGAAGGAGGGCTGGAAGGAGTGGCGGCTGAGGGCTGGGCATCTGCTGGCCCCCACCTTCCGGATCCTCGGCGTTCAAGCTCACCGGGGGAGCGCGCAGGAAGAGCAGGGGGCCAGCGTCCTCCGCCTCCGCCGCCGTCGGCCCCCCTTCTGCCCCTGCTCCCTGTCCTCCTCCCCGCCCTCGCACTCGTCCTCGCGCGCTTGGCACGACGGCCCTCCTTCAGGAGGGAACGAAACACACAGACACAACTAATCGTCGATTCCCAGGAAAATATGGGAACATATGGGAAGTGGGGGGGAAGACAAAATCCTTGAAAATATAGGAAAATATAGGGAATCCTTTCATTTGTGTATTCATTTGTGTGTCCCAGGGCCCCTTCACTCCTCTCAGCCCTCGCTCGCGCCCCTCCCCGCCCCCGCCCCCGCCCTCGCCCCACAGCTCCTCCCGTCCCCGTCCCGAGGGCCCCCCCCGCGAGCACACGCGCGACGTGGGGTGGGTGCCCCCCCGCGAGCACACGCGCGACGTGGGGTGGGTGCGGGGGGGGGGGGGGGGGGCGCGGCCCAGAGGGCTGACGTTGCCACGCCCCAGGAGGAGAGGAGGAGGAGGAGAGGAGGAGGAGGAGGAGGAGGAGGAGGAGGAGGAGGAGGAGGAGGAGGAGGAGGAAGGAGGAGGAGGAGGAGGAGGAGGAGGAGGAGGAGGAGGAGGAGGAGGAGGAGGAGGAGGGGAGGAGGAGGAGGAGGAGGAGGAGGAGGAGGAGGAGGAGAGAGGAGGAGGAGGAGGAGGAGGAGGAGGAGGAGGAGGAGGAGGAGGAGGAGGAGGAGGAGGAGGAGGAGGAGGAGGAGAAGGAAGGAGAAGAAGGAAGAGGGAGGAGGAGGAGGAGGAGAGGAGGAGGGAGGAGGAGGAGGGAGGAGAGGGAGAGGGAGGAGGAGGAAAAGGAGGAGGGGAAGGGAAGGAAGAGGGAGGAGGAGGAGGAGGAGGAGGAGGAGGAGGAGGGAGGAGGGGAAAGGAGGAGGAGGAGGAGGTGGAGGAGGAGGAGGAGAGGAGGAGGAGGAGGAGGAGGAGGAGGAGGAAGACTGGCTGCGCCGCGGTTGCTCGGAGACCCAGGGGGGGCGACCGGAGGTCCACCAAGGGGCCAGGCACGTCCGGCGACGCTGGCCCCCGATGTTCGGCCGATCCTCTTGCATCCTCGGCTTCCTCCCGCGTCCTCGGCTTCCTCCCCCCCCACTCCCTTCTTCCGCCCTCATTAACCTGCTCCTCCTCCCGTTCTTCCCCCCTCCACTTCTTCCTCCTCCTCCTTCTCCTCCTCCTCTTCCCTTCTCCTCCTCTTCCTCCTGCCGCCCTTCCTACCCACATGCCGCGTTCCCATCCTCCCCTTGCGTCTCCCCGCGCCCATCTCCTCTCTCCCTCGTCGTCGTCCTGCGCCTCGCCCATCCAACCCCCTCTGCGGCGGTAGCATTTGCAGCAGCAGGCATGTCATTAGTTGTGTTTTGGTCAAGCGACCGCCATCATTGCGCGATGTTTTACATGTTGGTTGCAGCGGTATGCCTCCCGCCAGTCTGTAGCGCTCCAGTCTTGAGCTAGAACCGAGTCAGGCGTACCCGCCCTCTCTCTTGGGGTCCCTGGAGGCGTTGTCCCGCGTCGTTGTGAGGCGATTCCCTCACCTCACCTGCATCACAGCGTGATGGCGGAGTTCCTGGGATCCCCCTGATCCCTGAGTCGAAGATCGGGTCGGGCGCGAGGGGGAGGTGGGGAGGAGGAGAAGGAGGAGGAGGAGGAGGAGGAGGAGGAGCAGCAGGGGGTGCGACATCTGCTGCGCACAGCTAGTGGCGGCCCCGCCGCCGGGCGCCCTTCGTCGACACGCGGGCGGGAGAGGCAGGTGGCGCAAGAGGGGATGCGATGCATGATGGGGGGTGCAGAGGGAGGTGCGCCTGCTGTGCCCTTCCTCCTATTCCTCCTCCTCCTCCTCCTCCTCCTCCTCCTCCCTCCTCCTCCTCCTCCTCCTCCGCCCTCCCTCCTCCTCCTCCTCCTCCTCCTCCTCCTCCTCCTCCTCCTCCTCCTCCTCCTCCTCCTCCTCACCCTCCTCCTCCTCCTCCTCACCTCCTCCTCCTCCTCCTCCTCCTCCTCCTCCTCCTCCTGTGCCCTCAGGAGGCCTCAGGAGGCCCCATGGGGCCCAAACGGGGCACGACCGGTGCAGGCGTCTCCCCCCAAAAATCGGTCGCCCCCCACCTGAGGCAACGCCCGGGAAAGCTGGCTGCGTGAGCTGATTCGCTCCTTTGCCATTCTGGGCATCCCAGATGGGGTCGGAGGATCGATCCGCATCGCATCGCCGACGCATCGGCGATGCATCGGAGACGTTTGCGGTGCATTTTTCGACGTCGGCATGGGGGGAGTCGGGCTCCACATCGAGCCGCATCGCCGATGCATTGGCGATGCGGCGTGATCCTCATATTCCATTTACTCGCACCTCATTTGGGAGGCCTCTCAGGGAAGCGTAATCATGTAACACGGCGCGCGGATTAGCGATGGGGCCCCATTTCCATGCGAAAGCCATGCGGTGCGTCGCCAAACGAGGCGGCATTGGTCTCATGTGTCGAGCATTACCTTCCCCGATTACTGGGTCTGGTGCCCACGCACCAGATCCACGGATCACCAATCCATGCTCGCGCGCGCCCGATTCTAGCCATTTGGGAGGCTTCCAGTCAGTGGCGGCGAAACTGACCCCTAGTAGTCCATCCCCTTCCGCAACGTCCCTCTCCCCTCAACCCTAGACGTACGTATACGGCAGAAGGGTGGCCTGGAGGGCGCGGGGGACGTCACAGAAGGTGCTCGTCACGGAAAAGGTGGTCGGACGGGGCTAGGACGAGGAGAAATCCGTTCCGGAGCGTTCTGGAACAGTCTGAGACGGCCGCGGCGCCCGAGGCATTTTCCAGAGCCGCTGGCTCCCAGAGATTCTCGGCTTATCCTCGCCCAGAAGTTATCCTCGTCGTCTTTCCTTCGTTGATGGGCAACTTTTCCATTACCGCTACCATATTTAGGACAGGGGAGAAGGAAGGATGAGGAGGTCCTCCTCCTCCTCCTCCTCCTCCTCCTCCTCCTCCTCCTCCTCCTCCTCCCCCTCCTCCTCCTCCTCCTCCTCCTCCTCCTTCTCCTCCCCTCTCCTCCACGTGGTAGTGGCGGTGGACAACGGGCCCATCGCTCGTCTTGGATTGGGTTATAGCCCGCGCCCGACTCAAACAGTTGCCCCCCCGTCCGTCCGGCCTCGGGGCGGGGCGGCGGGGGAGGAGGAGGAGGAGGAGGAGGGAGGAGGAGGAGGAGGGGGGGGAGGGAGAGGAGGAGGAGGAGGAGGAGGAGGAGAGGGGGGAGGAGGAGGAGGAGGAGGGGAGGCCTTGGGGCGGGCCGAGCAGCGCGGCCGGGGGCGCGGCGGCGCCCGGGTGTGCGGCGCCCGCCGCCGCGGGCAGGCCTGCGGCTCCGGGGGGGACGCGGCGACCCCGCCGCGCCGCGCGCTAAGGGGAGCCAGGATCGCGGGCGGCGGCGGAGGAGTGATCGCCTTAGGGGCTCCAGGAAGGGAGGAGGAGGAGGAGGAGGAGGAGGAGGAGGAGGAGGAGGAGGAGAGCGATGAGGAGAACGAGGAGGACGAGGGGACGGAGGGGCGCGGAGTCTCCTTCGCGCTCCGCGGTCCTCGTTCCTGCTCCCCATCTTCTCTGGACGCCCGAAATGGGTACGGAAAGAATGGGTACGATGCCCAACAGCAGTTCCTGTTCAGTTTGAGCAGGGCTCGCTGTCGGTGTCGCCGCGGCCTGTGTCCATCTGAGACAGAGGGCCACCTGCCCAACAGCGGCCGCTGTTGGTTTGGGACAACATTTGTTGTTGGGCAGTGTGCCCATTCTTTCCGTGCTCATCTCGGGCGTCCAAATCTTCTTCGTCCTCGTTTTCTCCTTTTGGGGGGGCGGCGCCGAAGCGCGAAGTGATTCGCGGAGCGCGAAGCGCGAAGCGAAGTTGGGAGCCCTCGAAGCGCTGACTGTCGAAGGAGAGAAAACGCCCAAAGCATATAAACTTGTGGCGCCCCGCGCGGATTTCTTGCATCCGCGCGGGGCCTCCCCCGGCACGCTCGGAGGGGGTCCAGGGCGGATCCGAGAAATCCGCACGGAGCGCCAAAAGTGTGGTTTTATAACGTTGTTCTCTTCTAAACAGGGGGGATCAAGGCGCGTGGATTAGCAACGGGCCTGGTCTTCATACGACATCGGCGCCTTGCGTCGCCGATTGCGGGTCGAGGAGCCCTGGGGGCGTCTTGGGGGGCCCCGCTGTCGGTGGTTCAGAGATGGATGATGGGTTCCTGAGTGGTGGGTGCAAGGGATTCAAGGGTGGATTTAGGTTTTTTGGCCAAAAGTAAAAATAAGAAGAGACACAAAACAAACAAAACAAACAGAAAACAGGAACAATAACAAAAAAAACGTCCTCAGGACCCCATCCGTCAGGACCCCATCTCTGAACCACCGACCCGGGGCCTCCCGAGAGCGCTGTCTGTGGCCTCGGCGTTCACCTGTCCGTGGGGGTCGTGGTTGGAGCGCGCTCCCGGGCAGCTCCGGGGCGCCGAGCGTTCAGCCCCGAGCCCAGACCTCCCTGTTTCCCGACCGCCAGAATTTACCAGCCTCGAACGCATCCCTATCCCCAAGATTGACACGCCAAAAGGCGGTGACAGTCTTAGGGATTCGCCCTCAAACAAGAAGGGAATCCCTAAGATTGGCATCGTGATGAGGAGGTGCCCAGCATACGGATAGGGATATGTTCCAGGCTGGTAAAGAATGGGTCTGGAGTGTCAGAGAATGAACGGGCAATTGCAGTCGTAATCGGTAGTAAGGACGGGGAGCCTTCCCAAGGAACCCCTTGCATC